CAAACTGAAGCACATCTTGATTCTGCAGAGATAGAAAACAGAGAGTGGAACTGCAGTGACTCGCTGGAGACTTTCAGACATTTTAATATAGTCCCACTTTATAGGCAGCTGCCCTAATTGTACATGACATGAGATCCAATGGAAACAGGCACTCAAGGGTAACTGTGGTTTGTCAGAAATTATGAGGCCTTACAAAGTCCCTCTCTATGCATACCCTAAGTTGTGCTGCTCTTTTCCCTTGATAAGACATTAACGAACAGATACAAGCCCTTTCCAAGCTTGGGAGGAGGGCAGCATGGAGAAATAAAGAGAAACTTCAGAGTTAAGTAATCCCTGTGTATTTCTCCTTCTTCAAGAGTATCACAATCTGTCAGCCAGATCCTTGTCACGTTGATCTTTCTTGGAAACTCTCCCTCCCTGAAAGTGCCCTGCCTACCATTTTAACATTTTCAAAGTCTCTCTCTCTTCTGTGTTATTTTTGACACAACTGATCTGCTGAAGGAAAAGAAACCCAGAAGAGCAGTGGTGCCTAGCTTGCTACTCTGCCCACAGGAAGGCTTTTTGGTGGGAAAGCTGGAGGGAACAGAGGATGGGGCAGGTGAAGAGAGCTTAACTACAATTCTTCAACTCTTCCATATCTAAAGAGGACAGCAATCTCTGTTCTATCAGGCTGCACGGCTTGTGCTTTAAATGGTACTCGCTGCTAGCTTGCTTCCCCTGTCTCTGTCTCTCTCCCTTTGAAGCAGACTGGACAGCTTCCTCAAGCTGGCGTTATCACTCCCTCTAACCACTCTTGGCAGGCAATCTAATTCCCCCTGAAAAGGTCACCGCCATTTTAACTGCCTTTCAATCACATTAAGCACGCTGCCGCTCGTGCTCAGCGCCCTGCGCCTGCAGCTCTCCTGACTGAGGTGCGATCGATAAACTGACATCCCGGCCCTCACCCCATCTCCCCAGCCACTCCACTCCTTCCCCTCTCCTGGACAAGCCATCTTCCCAGAACGGACAGTGAGACACCAAGTGACAAAACCCTGTCCTCAAACCCAGAGTGGCAGAAGGGGGCCGCTAACCTGGCATTTACTAATCTTGGTCCCATCTGCCGAGCAGCAGCCGGGCGCAGGCATCCCCGCCTCCCCTGGACCTACAGAGGCTGCGACTTCACAGGACAGTTTGCTTAGGCACCGGTCCAGACACCTTTGAAGCTGTGTTACAAAGAACAAGCCTCCCTCAATGCAATCATTACCGTTATCTCTCCCCCCGTGCTTCTTTTTTTTTTTGCAGTTACGAGTTATGTGTTCCACTCATCGATCCCTGTGTAAGACACTGTTTTAAGTCCTCTTGCCTTTTGACTGTGCTAAGCCGTTTAGGAGATGACAGCAGCTTCTATCAGTGCAAAGCTGATGTGATTCTTTTCAGATAAAGCACTTTTTTTTCACTCCCCCCTCCCTTTCCCTTCTTTCAAGTAAGAGACACACACACAAAAAGAGAAAATGAATCTTTCGAAGAAAAAAAAGAAACCCTTTTGAACTTCCCTCAGGAATTCTTTAAAGGGATAACCTCACAGTGTAAACACTGGGGGTAACGTGCAGCCATTCTGGAGAAGGAACAGAAGAGTCGGTTGCCCACCCCCCCGTGCTTCTTTTTTTTTTGCAGTTACGAGTTATGTGTTCCACTCATCGATCCCTGTGTAAGACACTGTTTTAAGTCCTCTTGCCTTTTGACTGTGCTAAGCCGTTTAGGAGATGACAGCAGCTTCTATCAGTGCAAAGCTGATGTGATTCTTTTCAGATAAAGCACTTTTTTTTCACTCCCCCCTCCCTTTCCCTTCTTTCAAGTAAGAGACACACACACAAAAAGAGACACTGAATCTTTCGAAGAAAAAAAAGAAACCCTTTTGAACTTCCCTCAGGAATTCTTTAAAGGGATAACCTCACAGTGTAAACACTGGGGGTAACGTGCAGCCATTCTGGAGAAGGAACAGAAGAGTTGCTACAAATATGATGAGCGTTAACAAAAAACAACCCATCAGAGAGGGAGCCACTTGATGCTTTCACTTGCCAAGCCTTGTTGGCTTCCCTAAACACAGAAACTCATTAGACAAAGATGACATGAAATAAACCCCTGCAAGAAAGAGCTTCAGAGAGGGATGATCCAGAGATGTGGAGATAGACGGTTACTGAGCGTTCAGGTATTTCAAGAGAAATGTCATCCTTGTCACACTGTTCTAAGATGGGGAAATATTTGATTATTACATCTGTACAGATTTCCACTTGGAAGCACGAGCTTGATTTAAATAGTGCTCGGTATTTCATGCTGGTAGCCATCTGCACTCATCCCAGTCAGAAACTAGAACTCTCCTGCTCCAAACCCTTACTTCAAGAAGGGCCTCTGCTGAAAGAAAGTGGTTCCGAATCCTATATAATTGCCCATAATCTGAATTTACATCCTGCAGTTTTGAGTAAGCAAACTAAGTGATACCAAATCATGCTTTAAGAAGCCAAGGCAGATAGAAGTACCAAATAATCCCTGACTGAAAGCCTTCATCAAACCCAACAGCTTAAAAGACAACATACTGATCCCAGCATTTCTCAGTTACATCATATTCCTACTTGCTGCCATCTCCTGTTCTTTCCACATGCTGCCTCAAGTATGCCAAGCCACGGCAGGGGAGAAGGTGTTCTTGGCTCCGCTGCACTAGATCTGAATGGGAATTTGCAGCTGCAATACCAACACAGAAGAATTTCCACCTTCTAAGACAGCCCCTCAGGTAAGAAGAGTAAGTCTTCTCTTCCAAGTGCTTTTGAAGCAAGAAAGCTTCATCCTAGGAACCACACAAGTGAGTTTCAGCCTCCAATTGCTTCTTCCAGAGAAGCTAAGCGGGACTCTTCATTTCCCTGACCTATTTTCAAGAAGTAAAACCCCAGGATTTCCCAACCTTCCCTCACCTGAGAACCTAGTAGGATCTATCTTGCATATAATTAGCAAAGAGTTTTCCTCACCATTAGAGTCTTTGTCTGTTAACCAAAAATGATAAAAAGAAGAAGCCAGGACCTGGGTTAAGTCTGAGTCACTTCTGTAATGCTGTCCAATGGTCTATACTGCACACTGGCCACAGTGTCCTGCTCCCCAATTTGCCCAGCTGTGACATCTCCTCAAAGCAACACACCATTAAAACCAAAATTAATGAGACACATTGACATCTATTTTCCCCTCCGGTTTTATGTATTTCCCCATGTCATTTCTTTAGACACTGGTGACATCCCTGTAGCCTGGCAAAGCCTGTCTGGCATTATAAAAGGCCTTCGATTTCCACATCGCTGCTACTTCTCAGCAGAGGGAACGGAGCCAAACACAAAGCCTCGGGTGACTGGGGTTAACGAGGGCCCTGCCAACTCTAGACAAAGCAGTTTTAAGCATTGGAAAGCACCATCAAAACATTGTACTGTGCCTCAGGGCTGTAAATTAAGAATTCTGTCCCTACAACAAAGCAAGCACAAACACTGGCAGAGGAAGGAAAAAGTCAAGTCTCTCAAAACCAACTGTGAATGTTAACCAGGTGAAGACAGCAGTGTCCACACCACGGAAAGTGGAAGGTCGTGCCCCCCCCTCAAACTCAGGTGTCAGTGGGGGTGAAGAAAGAAACTATGCATGCACCAAAAAGGGCAGAAATGAACTGAGTATCTTCTTCTAACCAAGACTAGCAGTGACAATGATAGAGGCACACAGACATCCCATGCTTCCCCTCTACAGATTGTAGTAACTATAACTACATAAATAGTCTAAGGCTCTGCACAGCCTCATCAGACCTCTATCTGGAATAATGTACAGACTCAAGTCTCCATGTGGGCACAAAAAAAGCTAAGGTAGGTAAGATACAAAAACAGACAGTGTGAGCTTTATTGGGTAGCCTTTAAAGCCCAAAGAAGCTGCTCCCTCATGTCTGAGCTCCTGATCATCTGCTCTGCTACAACCCAGCTACAATTCCATTTAAGAGGCAGGTAAGAGCAGATCAGGAGTGCCAGGTTGTCACTGAGCACACAACTGGCTTTTAAGTCCAGCTCCCTTACACAGAAGCTTTTCCCCTTGAGATATTTTTAATTAAAATCCAGGCTAATATAGGAAGAGATTACACTCCATCCTCTTTATTGAACGGAAGGAGCCAGCATTCCTCCTCTCATTAGGCATGCGCTACGTGGATTGCTTGCTAGAGACTTTCCTTAGTGCCAGAGGTTCATGCCAATGAACAGTTTAGTAAATCCTCCTCTTCGAGGCCAAAGGGCTGAGTGCAAGAAAGGGGCCAGGTTTCCAGCTAAAATTACATTCACCAATAAAGCTCACAAGAGGTCAAATTTTGCCATAACTCACTCTCTCCTCAGTAACTGATTTCCCCATCACTGGGGAAGGAGCAAAAGAAGGAGGAAAAATAAAATGTGTTTGTCTGGAAGCCCTAAGGGCTTGCAGTGCTGGAGGTGCAGAGCAGCTTCCTGGATTCTCATTTATCAACCTTAAAAGGGATGGAGTGATAAATGCACAACTGGCCCTTTAATATTTTATGCAGGTGCGAAAGCGACTTGGCTGTCACCTTCAATACATCACCAGAGGCTGATACACCAGCTTTCGTCACTCCAGGCTGGGAATTTTTACAATTTCATTTCTATTTCCCTCTCTTCACATATTTCCATGTATTTCTTACCACATGTAACACATAAGAGGCTATTTTCCCCAAATGATCTCCTCATTCTACCTATTCCTACTCATTCCCTCTTCAGCCACCTTTCTCGAGCAAGAAATAATGCCACGCTTCTGGTGAAAATTTCCACAAATTTTGACTCTTATCATTCAAGAGAGGTAAAAAACCAAAACCACTTTATGTTCTGGCAAAGGCTGAAGGTCCCACCCTTTGTGAGAGGCAAATCTCCAGGGTCCTTCTAAATAAAGACAGACAATGATCAACTTCTGCAGCACAATGATTTAGAAGGGCCCCCAAAACACCAGCGCACCTCGAAATCCTCCCTCCAGGAGGGTAGTGGCCCGTATCCTCTTCTGCCCGCACCATTCGTACTCTTCAAAGCGGTTGCCGTTCTCGTTCTCAATGTCCACAGAGTCATCCTCAGTCATGCATGAACCTTCTCTCTGCACAGGGTAAAGCAGGGGCAGAGCATTGAGATGCATAGAATAGCTCTTTGGGATTAATCATTTAGGGTGGGATGGAAAAGGAAAGCTGAACTGTTCCCAGGACAGTTGAGTATAGAGCAGACTGCAGCATCTACTCCCACCCTAATTCCCAATGAACTACATCTGAGAGTAAATGGGTGCTGGAAGAACTTGACAATCTTAAGACGAAAATAAGTTGCAAGATTCAGCATCTTACACATGGAAATTCAAGCCCTGGTTCTTACAACAACTCCAGTGTGCATTTCAACAAGCTTTCCCCTGCCCTGCTTGCACAAGTGCCCTGTCATGTAAACCACAGATTCCTTTGATTCCCAGCAGCAGTGTTCTCCTAGCACATAATTTTTGGGAGACACTGATCAAAAATCACCTCTCTTTACACCATGCACCCCCTGAGGCAACAAGAGTGAATTTGTTATCATCCCTATTGTGGGCTTTTTGTGAGAAACAAGCACAGAAAATCCTATGACGTAACTCTCTCCCTTCCCTAGGGCTTGTTCCTCCTTCTTGCCTGCTGTCTTTGGGATGAACAGCAAGAGAACAGTTCTGCTCAAATGCACTTGCTGGAGTAAAATGGTCATGCAACATTTACAAATGCCAGCCTGTTACAAAGGAAAACAACAAAAAATAATTCTGATGTTGTCAAAGGCAGAGATCAGAGAGAACTCTTCCTGCTGTGCTACATAGGAAGCATGAAGTCCTACAAAAGGCTTCATAAACTTCAACAGCTTTCCATTTACAGTCCACAACTTAAAACTTCAGTAATAGCAAAAGGTTGAACGAAGTAAAAAAGTTATTAGTGCAGCACAGGAGAGAAAAATCCAGAAGAATGTATCTTCCAAGACAAGGAGAAGTGACTACGGATCTCAGGGAGACACAGTTAGCATTGCCTGCAAGCTCAGCAATGTTAGTTTTTGCCCCGTGTTAGGTTTACAGCAGACAAAGCAGGGAATAGGGAGAAGGGAATGGCAGCTGGCAAGCCTGCTGTGCCTCTACCTTTGCAAGGCATTGTTCCACATGCCTACTCATCTCCTCCTCGGATCCTAACAGAGGTCGGCTGCAGAGGGGACATACCTGCCCTTCGTCTTGCTTCCTCCGTTTCATTTTTCCAATCCGAGCTGCATGGAGAAACCAGGGAAAGAAAACAAAGAAACAAAAGGAAGACATGTCAAGTTTGTAGATCCACTCTTCTATTTGCTCAGCTCCAAATAATAAACTCTTGGCAGAAATGGTTAGATTTCACACAGGAAAATCCCATTGCTATACCATGTGCTGATCTCTGTAAACAGAACAGAGACTGTTACTTAGCACTTGCCAGATTGAACCTGTAACCTGTGCCTGAGTACAGCCTGATTTCAGAAAGGCAGCTACTCACAGTTTCATAGCTAACTTTATTTACAGGGGCTATCTGCTGCACATCCCCAGGTTATTCAAATGGTTGAATACTCGGAAGCCTGAAATTGTTTTCAAAGTTGAGTGATCAAGCCACTGAATCCTGTCCTGTATTTTGCCTTCTAAGTCCAAGACCCATCCACTAAAACATCTATTCCCTATCCAGGAACTTGCTTAGACCACAGAAGGATGATGTAGCACCCAAAAAGCCTTAGAAAAGGTACGTAACAGTCAGTTCCAGGACCGGAGAATCTCCTGTACACCCTGAACAATTCCTTCCCAGAACATCATGAATGAGTCAGAGCAGCACCTTGGTAGCAGGAAATATTTGTAAAGAGGAGAAATTTCTGCTGTGAAAAACACAGCACCTGTGCTAGATTGCTTCTGTATCTCTCATTTTTATTTCACTGTTTTCACACAGAGGAACACTGGGTGCTAGGCTGCCTTCTTGAGGGCACGCTCTGGGAAAGAAACATGTTAGGCATCATGATGATTAGAGAAAGCAGCCAAGGTAGCCTGTTGCTTAATCCAATCTCCGGTTAATTTGAGCCATCATTTAATGTGATCAAAACATCTGGAACCAAATCATTTGCATTAAAAAAAAATTCTGTCCTTTATTATGATGGCTTCAGGCAAGTATTACTGAATAACTCAATCATTGGCTGCAGGAAAGTCACTGTTTAATTAATACAGAAGGTCAAAATTCTGAATGAGAGACAAGGAAAAGCCCAAGGAAAGCCCATGTGATAATGAGAGATGACACCACCAACAAGCTGTGTTAGCCAGAAATTGTTAGTGACATTGTGGGCACTGCAGCATGCTCTGAAAACCTGCCTGAAGAATACTGTGGGATCAACTGCTCCCTGCAGCCAATGAGTCAGAGAAAGTTGCTGAACACCAGGAGTAGGATCGGGATACAGGAAAGTTTCTGTCAATCTTTCTCTACAGTGTATCAGTTTGTAACTCATGTGGCAAAGTGGTTGCAATAAAGTTTCATCTGGACACATCAGCACCGAATTGGAAGGCCATTTCAAGGCTTTCTTGTTGGCTGCTCCGGACTCAGGACCCTCTGGGTTAGCATGCATTTTCCCACAATCCAGAATTAGGAATATTCACCATTCCCTATGCTCTGTGATACCCCAGGATGAAGGTGGCTTCAAATTATTCCTTGGGCACAGCTCTTCCTCACTGAATAAGACAAATTTGTAGGCAAACACCCTCCAAAACAAATCTTCCCTCCTGGCACATAAAAAACAAAAGGCTTCTGCAAATGTGACATTCCTAGAATTAGAGACAGGAAATTAAGACCACATGGAAAGTGCTGCTGGGACCTGGCACTATGAACAACAGGGACTGCCAAATAAATGCACACCACTTTTATCAGTTATCTAAATTTCATTTGCTGAAGCTCCACAACCCTCTCTCATGTTGGGTACAACAGACTGACAAGTTCCACAGCCCACCTGCCATTCCACAGGTACTTCAGTATTCCTACTAGGATATTTTAATAGTTTCCCTTCTACTTTGTCTGCTTAAATCTGTTATTCTGTCTCTACTGTCACCTTCTGCTCCAGAAGGTAAACTGCTTGACTTCCAGTTGATACAGAAGCAAACATCATGAAGTGCTACTGCTAAGGTCATTGTGCCCAGATGGATTATGACCTCCAACATGTCTTCCGTTTTTTCTCTTTCCGAACTCCAAAATACTATCCCTCCTCCTTCTTTGAAGTAACAGAAGCAGTGGGAGTTAAGCCATGCTCTTTCTAGTTTGCACTTCAGTGCATGAGACTTCTGAAGTTTTTGTTTAGTGAATATCCTCCAGTTTGGCTCTTCTGCATAAGTCCAGGATGCTCCTTCCTTGCCTTGCTAGCTCTGCAGAACCAACACCAACCAGGGAAGGAATCTGACATGACTTGAGCATTACCCAGCAAACAACTATCCAACAAACAGGAATAAAGCCTTTTCTGTCCTCACTGCAGACACATCCTTCTCTCACCTCATCCTGTTTTTAAACAGGGAAATGCAGGAAAGGAGCAGTTCAATTATTCTGTTAGGACTCCCTGTGGCCAATCAATTCAGCTAAGTCCGTTTGCCTGGCAAGTTTATTTGTATTTTTAACTTTTTTACTGCCATCCTCCAGCTGATGCACTGTAGCAGTGATAAAAGGAAAACAGCTTATCTTGGGTCTTGCACCGATGAATTCTTGGGATTATTTTGCCAGACCAAGCACCTGACCTACAGTTGAAATGTTAGTGCAAAGCTGGGAACAGAACCTGACTCTGCTCCAGCTCCAAGCAAGACTCAGCAGACAGCCCCTATCTCTGCTCATTTAACTCTGACAAGAATCAGCCCTTTAAGTTCTAGTGCCACAAGTGAAAAAGTCACCGGAACAAAAAGGTGTTGAAAACGAATCCCCCTGCCATTTTCTTTCTGTGGTGATTAGCAGCACTGAGCCCACGGAGGCTGAGGGTGCCCCTGGTGACAGCAGAAACCCAAGGGGAATGCTGTGCCTGGAAAGCACGTCCCGAGCAGCGCGGGCCCTATGGGACATGAGGCACAGCCTGGCCATCACTTCCAATCAGCACGGAAGGGACCGAGTAGCCCCAAAGGCAGGGGGTGATTGTGGGGCTGTCCCAAAGGGGAGCAGCTCAAAAGAACACACAAGTGAGACCACAGGATTGTTAATTAGTGCTGATAGATGCGATCATTTCTAATTAGCTCGCTAATCCCTCTCACCCTCGATCCTGTCACATGAAAGGGGAATTAAAAAAAAAAAAAAAGCAGCCATTCCCTCTTGTAATTCAGGAAGGTAAAAATGTAGGCAGCAGAGAACTGAATGCAAGAGGACGGAGCTCAGGGAAGGTTTTTGCACCAGACTAACCCATTCTCATCTCTGACTGAACAAAGACTCTGTAGTTATTATTCCAGCCTTCTGCCAGGAGGTGAGGAGCTCACTAATTTTTATTAGCATTAATAATTATTATTATTAGGCCATCAGAGGGCTTCCAGCACCTTTGAGGCCTCACTTTTAACAGATAAGCATCACCCTAGACACTGCTCCTGCTTCATGCACGGGTTTTCTCTCATGAAACCACTGAGCAGCCTTAGGTACTCAAAGCTTATGAATGAGAAAGCAGCACATGGGGGTGAATGAGAACTGGGACCCTCAGCTAGGACCAAGGCCTCAGTTATGGTCTCTGACTTAACTTCAGAGCTGTGCTGGCTAAGGGAGCTGCTCTTCCTTTTCCTAGTATGGGGCCCTTGGGACCTTGGAGGGTAAGGATCTGGTTGCACTAGAGCAGGAGACAACCTGCACTTGACAAAGCCTCTACTGCTGAGGGTACACCAATCCCTGCATCCCTGCCTTCCCAGGGGTGCAGAGAGAAGGAGCCAGCCCACTCCCAGCCACAGACACTACTGTCTGATGGCCGTGAGGGAACAAGGATTTTTTCTCACAACAGGCTTGCCTCAGCAAAGCTAAGCCTTGTTAATGCCTAAAGATCATGTTATTCTCTAGCCCAGCAAAACTTCCTGAGAGAAAAGCTAATGGGTTTTAGTTTTCACTGGTATCCCCCTCCCCAAGCAAAAATTCACCTTCAGGACAGGGCACTAATTACCTCAGAAGTGCTCTCACATGGCATCTAACAGTGGACACTACACCAACCTCTACCACAGCACCAAAGGAGATGATTAAGTTACTAGCAATATCTCTTACGATTCCCTCCACCAGTTTGAGTGGTCCCCCGAGCCCCATGCAGACATCATTAGCAGCTCCTGCAATGGCAGGCCAATCAAATTAAGTGGAAACATTTTTGTCTCCTTTCCAGTGAAAAACATCTTCCTTTATTCCTCCCCCACTCATCTACTACAAAAGCACGTGACATGCTGGTGATGGCTCAACAACAAGCTGCACGGTGACCACCTCCACCAAGGTCTGCCCAGAGGGGCAGGCTCATGGTCAACACCAGCACAGGAACCAGTGTCTCAGGCAGATGCCAAAGGAGCTTTGTGAAGACCTCTTTTACAACACTACTGAGAATGCTATCTATGCAAATATCCCTACATTCAAATCAAAGATATTCAAGCAGAAGAGTGAGCACCTGCTTTCTGCAAATCTACTACAGGAGTCCTGAAGAGCAGTTATACTTTGTTAGACCTATCACAAAAAGCTTCTGTGGCTGATCATCCAAGATCATCTGATGCAAGGGAACAAAGGCAGCAATGGCAGAGCACAAAAAGCCAACTGAAGAACAAGCTAAAGCAAGAAAACAGATGGTCAAGAATGAGTTTTTTTTCAGACCTTATGTACAATTCTCTGATCATCTGCCTGAGAGAGAACATTAAGGGCCAAATTCACAGAAGGGTCTCAGTGGGGCTTTCACATTTGCATGGCCAAACTTCCACAAAGATGATTTCCCATAACCTTCAATGAGACACTATTCTCTGAGGTTGGCACATGCTTAACAAGCTGGTTCCATGTTCTGATACACTAACCTGAAACTTCTAATTTTGAATGACTACCTCACCTGCTCTGCACTGCTGAACTCCATAAGCATCAATTTACAGGGTTTTGGCAACACTGGAAATAAGGCAAATGAAAGAAATGCCTTCTTTATCACAGGGGCTCGTCAGGAACCAGCACCTCATCTTCCTGGGTTCACAACCTCTGGAAAGTGAGTTTAGCACAGGCGAGAGGTGCAGGATTAACACAACACTGATGCTGACAGGGAAGCTCAGTACAAACACTCAACTAAGAGTCTTACAGACAGAACATTAATCTGCTCCAGAGCCTGCAAAGACATTCCCCTTACTTACAGTTCAATTCAAGTCAAAGGTTTGACTTTGAGAACTAAAATTCTGGACTGCCAGGTATCCTTGAGCCATGTA